CGTTGCAGAGTTGTCATGTCAATTGCATTAGGCAACACGCTCGACGATTGTGTTGCACGTTTCGTGTAGCAGCGTCCAGCAATTGTCATGTCACAGTAATTAACAAGCTTGTTTCTGAGTCTAATCAAATGCACGTGAGACACTTCTGGTATTTATGACCTCAGAACATCATCAGTAGTTTCAGTGTTGGTTATTGCTACCGAATGGCTCAAATTAGGTTACAATCCAGCTTACTCCTTAATTTTAATGTCTAGAAATATTCTCAACTTTGATATTGATGCTAACCTTGAACTAGGTGCTATAAAATTAGATAAACTTCAACCAATTTAGATCTTACTGCCCTCTCAGTTCACATATGTCTCACTCGAGTTTTATTGGAGTTATAGGACGGTGAAAACAATGAAAACCTTTAAATGGCGTTGAATAATGTAATTCGATTGTTTGTAACTTATGGAAATCATTTTTATGAACCAGTTTTTGCAAACAGCGAAGCAAGCATTCATTTGTTTAACTTAAGCAAAATGTCAGAAGAGTTACTAATTGTCCGAAGAGTGGGTTTTCAACTCGTTGATAGAAGTAACAGTATTAGGAGAACTACCTTTCACAATGCTTTCACAGTGCCTTTCAGAAAAGAATGCCCATAGTTTTAAATGAAATAATATTTTTTGAAATGTTACTTTCCTCTCAATTTATACTGCCCAATTTCTTTTCCCTTACTTCAGGCTCCCAAAATGGACATTTTGGAGCCTAAAATTCGAATCCTACTGATAATACTGTTTTTTCAATGCTTACTTGCACTTTGCACATTACTATACAGTCCACGTAGTTCGCAAACTGCTCGCAAATGCTGGTTCGCGTTTTCTGTAGCCTTGTAAGTCTCTTGTAACAGAATATTGAACGGGAAAGTGGAATCAAGATCTAGCAGATAAAATTAACGCGGGCGGGAGAGTCGAAGCAGTAGTTGCAGATTTTGTCAAAGCATTCGATGTCGTTCCACACGATCTATTTGTTCACAAATTAATGAATTTAGTCATCGATCTCAGGGTGGTGACGTGGATTAGCGAGTTTCTGCGAGATAGGAAACAGGAAGTCCGAATTGGGCAAGAGTTACGTCAGAAATATCACAAGGGAGTATCATTGGACCTCATTTATTTATAGCGTTCGTCAATGATTTTCCAATGCACTTAATATCAAATGTTTGGCTCATTTGCAGACGATTAGAAAAATTATCGAATTATGAATTCGAAAGACGAAGAAATTCTGCAACGGGATCTTGATGCGTTATATTAGTGGACGGAAAATGATGGCATGTATGCTCTTCAAGCAAATCTATCACTTTTACCAGGGGTTACAATTACAGAAAAACAACATTATTCCGATCTTTTCATGGTGCAAGTACCAAAGAATCCATTTCGACAGTAAATTGAGCTGGAAAAGTCACGTAAAATTTATTGTAGGGAAAGTCTGGTGATCTATTCACTTTGTAATGCACATCTTAAAAAAGAATACGGTAAACCGAAGGAAATTGCGTATTTATCGCTTGTTCGTCTGATAATGGAGTATGTGACATTTTTCTGGGATTTGCACAAAATTATGCAGTGTAAAAATTTGGAAAGTATTCAGCGTAGGGCAGTTAAATTTACTTGCAGGAACCCGAAAATGGCAGGGTGGGATTCACTCGAAAAGAAGCGAATGGCAAGACTGTGCTTTATATAAAGCTTATAGTAGTCAACCAGTTTGGAAAGAAATCAATTGACGCCTTAGTATTCCTACGTACACAAGTAGAGAGGATCACAAGAACAAAATAAATTTAAGACTGCAGAGAACGGATGTCGGGAAATTCTCTTTCACAAATCGAACAATAACGGAATGGAATAGATTGCTTGCAAAAAACATTTAACCCTATCCTCGAAGCATTAAACAGTGTAGGAAACTAATTTAGGGTATTTCTAAGTTTATGAGGTCTTTAACTAAGAATACTAGGCTATATAGTGAAGTGTGGTCTCATGCATTGCAGAGCAGAGAAATGATGAAGAAATTGCTTTAAGTGCCAATCGTGAAGTGCAATAAAGTGATGAACAGTGCAGTGCGGTCTTATATTATTTTTCTTCGTGTAATTTAATGTTTACTGAATCATAAGTTTATATATTATTATTACTATTATAATAATAATAATTATTATTATTACTACTATTGGCGTATAGGACATTGCAAAGCGCGTTACAGGATGAACGTGTGTAATTTTTCCAGGATCAGCTTTTCAGCTATATCCCGCAGTACGACAGTATTGTTACGCCTTGAAGCGTGAATTATGAGATGATAGGATGATGATAAGGAGAGAAGGGACTATCACAAATATGACCATGTCTACGCAGGACTCGAACCTGCAGCTTTCTCGGCGCAGACGACTGCTGCCGCTACCGTCTTCACCACGGGACCGATTTAAGTAACAACATTATATGTAATATTAATAAAATATTATATGAAATATTAATAAAATATTATACGTAATATTAATAAAATATTATACGTAATATTAATGAAATATTATACGTAATATTAATAAAATATTATAAGTAATATTAATAAAATATTATACGTAATATTAATGAAATATTATACGTAATATTAATAAATTGGGTTACACCCAATTACAGTTCAAGTAAATTCATCTTTATCTTAATATTAGGTCACGTCATGCAACACGTGCGTTGATCATGTGTCTGCTTCTTCGAGTAGAGGTGTCTTTTCATGAGTAGGCTAACGACTCTGTCGTCGGTGATGTTTAACCACTCGCAAATTATAGAGAGATTTTTATAAGAAAGGACCGCTTTGACATCTACTGTTAGGCTATTGCCGACAACATAACTGTGGTTTATGTCAATAAACTCAATTCCTCAATGCGTTTGTTTAATTAGCTCATTAGTAAATGGTTTTCATCGCCATCCCTTCCAATTTCGTCGCTCTACACCACATTCATTTGTTTCTCGACCTGTCAAACTGGTCCCTTCTTAAAGTAACTCTGACGACATTGCCGCCACTCCCGCCCGCAAGAAGCACTGCCCGTGCAGAGGCTCCTTAACTCTTCTCGCCTGTAATCTCAGTCTCTCTAGGTTTACGCAGGAATCTTCTCGCCCTGGCATGAAATCCTCACTTTTCCCCAAGTAATTTCTCCGTGTTTCTCGTTTCTAATTAGTCAATCACTTTTTCTCGGGGATTATAGAATATACTCTTACTTTCCACCTAAGACGCTCTGTCATCCCTCCAAAATTGTCTTCCTTTTGTCCGTAAGAATTTCATTTTCTGATAGAGCGATCGCTGTTAGGTCGCTGCAGTGTTCTTTTGAAAACGTGGGCGGCAACGTTACTACTAAGGATCTCCTCGTTAACAGGGTTCCTCTCAGCTGGGCTCAAAGTTGTGTGTCTTAGGAGACATGCCGTCCTCGCATAGCTATTTCTAAGATGGGATTTTCCTATGTTTGTGTGTGCAAAGATTCGCGTGACGGTGTTTACATTTCGAGGCGGTTGGTCCGGTTGGAATGCTTTCTCTGGCACCCAACCCTGACGCTTGTAAACACTTGGGCCGTTAAGTGGCAGCAGACTGCGGGCGGTTCGTTGCTCTTCCCGAATCGAGGGGGGGGGGAACGGGATATCCGCGATTACATCCCAATAATACGCGTGCAGAAATTAATCATTTTTTATCTTCGTATCAAGTTATAAATAAAGTTATCAAATTATTTGTTCATTTGATTAGTTGCTTTAAACTTCAGTCATTGTCATGAATCATCATAGTAGAACATTATCAAAAGCATGAAATATATAAGTATGTAATTAAAAATAATAAATAAACAACAAGAGAATTTGAAAAAGAACAGAAAATATGAGATGAGAAAAATTGTCATAGGTTATATTATAAACAAATATATTAAAATTAAAAAAATAAAATTACAATAAATATTACAAAACGAAGAAGAACAGGTGGGGGATAATACTTCCATTTAACGATGAAAATGGTAATTTCTTATGATTTTGGATGAAAGATTTAAAATCAACATCAAAACCATAGTTTAAACCGTGCGTTTGCAATTAGCCCAGTCTCCTGGAGATAAACTCTTTTTTTCTAACAACATCAAGTCAGGTTTCCCTTATACAAGATTTTTATCGATAAAAATTCTGGGTAATATGTTTATATTCACTTGTTTTTATTATAACACTTTTATGCCTCATAAGCCCCGCAGAGCTCATCACTCATCAGAACAATAGAATCGAATTTGCCGTATATTTTAAAAAAATGCTGGTATTTTACAATATTTGTCATGAAGTGAGGCAATGCTGCGAGACATTTAATTTCCTGTAGAATTGTATGATTCTTTGTTAACAGTGTTTGATTGTTTCCTCTATGTATTACATATATAGTAATTCGAAATTCAGCAATTGAGCAGTTGGATGGTATACATTGCTCTACTAACACATTGCCATTCAGTAGCAGTTGTTATCATCAATATTTTGACGGGTTGCCACTTATACACTTTAGTTTATTCCTGAGTGAAGATATCAAATTTTTTATGTCTTGTGTGTGTATGTATGTATAACAAATACTTCACAAATGACAATTTTTGTCTGCTTGGGTACAAGCATTTAAACTTATCCACTATCATATTCGTAGTGTTAGTGGTTAAAATAATATAGTTCTCTTAGCTGGCTCGGGGTAAACTTCTTGATATGTGAGTGAAACATATTGTGACATCAATAATGTAACATAACATAAATATTGTAAGAACATTTACACATATATTATTTCATCCCTTCTTGTCATATTATTGTACAAAACTCAACATTTCTGTATACGATCTTCCAAACCCTGGAGACAATATCGCAATATATTTTCCACTACACCGGTGTCAAGCCATTTTGTAAATAGGCGGGACCGGATCTCAAAATATCCTGGAAACGCCGTGTAAGCGTCAGGCAAAGGCGAGGATCGATCGCCAGGTCGCTTACCTGCTTTTTCTGGCCGCGTGACCATGGTGCGGAAGTTTGCTCGCTAACTTCCCGTCCGCCACGCCCCGGCTCAGCTCGGCTCAGCTCAGCACTTTTCCTCGATCCGACGCTCTTGTGTAGATCGCCCGGCCTCCATGCGGGTCGATGCTTAACCTGCAAACACAACAGAATTGCCCTTCTAATGGCCAAAATGGCTGCAATTGTAATAACAGTCGCGGAATTTCCATCGAGTAGATGAATATTCAACCATGGAATCATATAGATAAAGTATACATAAAGTAAGAAAAAATGCAATGAACATCTAAAAACACAATTGTATATCATAATAAACTGTAATTTTGCGAGAAAACTAATAATACCAGAAAGTGATATATCAGTGCTTTCGAAAATCTTAGGAAATTTAATTCGCATTAAGAAACATTTAATTGACTGATATGTTATTATTTTGTTTCCGGGCGCGTCACCCGCTATGGTAATTATTCTCCTAAGTGAAGTGTTTGTTATATAACGGGAAATTGTATATTTCCTCCCATTTGGTACACGAGATCCGGAGCCAATTTACACGTCGCGTCGGCTAGAGATGTTTCCTCCCCCTTCTATCTCTGACAGTGTGATATTGGGGCCAACCCTAAGCTCCCCGCTGGTCTCCGACATGTCTAGAAGTGTAATGAATACAAGTGTGTTTGTGTGTGTGAGTGTGGATGTGGAAGGGGACGCGCATGAGGAATGAAAGAACGCTGGATCAATACCAATCGAAAACCAACCGCGGAAAACTAACGATCAGAGCTGCTGGCAAGAATTCTCTTCCACGCAACGACTGAATTCGATCGAGCTAACCCCCTGCTGTCAGGGCTCGAACCGTAGGATCAGAGGCACTGGTAAGAAAATCTGATAAGTCAACAATAACATAGGATTCTAAATATATTTACATTAAGTAGATTAAAATGTATATATCATTTTAAAAAGAAGAGATGCTCCACCGGAATTTACGAGCAGTCTTTTGATAAGTATGGCACACTGGTGTAGATATATTGAAAGGATTAAAGTGTTTGGATGAAGTAAATTAGCAAGGCTAGTTGAAAGTGTAGAAATGTTATTCAGAAAGCATACATAGTTTAAACTTCACTTGGGAATTACCAATGGGTTATTTATCCTTCTCATGTAATTCAGTAATATCAACTCATTACCCTTCTGTTCAGTAATACCGACAAATTTTGAATAAACAGTTAATAAATGTAGTTTCACGGTGGAGCTCTCTTTTTTAGCAGTAGGGCGGGATGGGCGATATATTATCAGCAATACTAAAATTAAATCTGTAGTTCGTATTCAGATGCAAATAGGTTTTTTTACTTCTTGGGAAGGAAAATTTCGAGATTTCAAATGTTTCCAACCAAGCCCGTTGGTCAAGATTCAGCTCTGTGTGTGCAGAAACGAAAGGGTTTAAGATTCTGGAGCCCTAGGGCTACTAGGTGATATTTTGGGCTATTTTCTATTGCCACTGGTTGCCACGTTCTACGGAGAAATCCAATTTAAATTCCCTTGTATTTGTTACAGTAGTGTCGGCTACTTCATTCACGAAATGCAACAGAGTGTCTATCAAAGATTATGCCCATGCTTGTTTTTTTTTCTCCAGAAACAGTACGTCCGTGCGCGCAGTCCGGGCTTTCGTCTGCGACGAGAGCACAGAGCTGGGCCTTATCTCTTCAGGATTCGTCTTCCACGTATATTGTATTTTTAGTATATCTTTTCCTCATGTATTGGTTTCTAAACACAATTTAGTACTTTGCCACATACTCTTCGCAATAAATCAGTGTTTATGATTTATTTTATTGATTTATATTGGATTTATTAGAAACACAATGCCTTCACAATTGAACCCCATTCGTTCTCTCCGACGTTGTGCATGCCTACCCGGCGTCTCCACACACGTGAGCTTGCACAAACGTGCAAGAGCGATTGCCGTCAATTCCTGCACCATTTACTCAATATACGAAACCAAATTGCGCGCCGCGAATACCACCGAATTGTGCCGCCAGATGTCGTTACAATACCGCCACATTTTATAGCAACCCAGTCCGTTTATATTATTTACTGCTTATGAAGAAATCTTTTTGTAGCGGAAAACCTCTGAACCAAAGGTAAATAAGATGAAAAAAAATCAAGCAACGAAACATTTACTCAAGATTGTACAAAAGATACTCCTGCACCTTCTAAAAATATAGCTTTGTTGTGACAAACTAGTTCCACACTAATTTTGACAATATCTTGCCACCTGGTTTTACGGGTGACTCACACTAATGATGGAACACTGGCAATACACGGCAATCCGATTGGTTTCTAATCACAATATCGTACTTTGCCACAACGATCCCCAAATAACTCCTCACACTCAGTCAACCTTCCTCAATTCCATCACTTCGGAACAGGCGGCGAACATCGGCGAGACAAAACTACGCGGTGAGCTATGCGGCCCCTCCTTTTGCATTCGCGCGGAGCTCGCGGCAGCCGCGTCGAACTTTCCCGATACCCCTCCCGCAGCCCCCCGGGGTGCCCACGTGACGCCGCGCCGCCCCGCCCCGCTGCGGAACTAGTTATCACCTGCGCAGCTGCCGCATCAAAGTTTCACGCGCGAAATCGCTTTGCGGCCGGGACTCTTGTGGAGACAGCCACCTCCGCCATCGCCTCTGCCCCAGCCCCCTGCCCTTCGTCTGTCCCTGTCCCTGTCGACCGTCACCAATGACAACTCGCTACCACCACCACCACCACCACCACCACCACCACCACCACCACCACCAGTCTTACCGTGCCCCGCGCCACCACATTCGTTTCTGTCCCTTACCACCGCCGCCACCTCCTCTGCCCTTTCCGCATGCAGGCTCCACCTCCAATATCACCACGCTATTATTACCAGCACCACCATCTCCGCGGCACCACATTCGTCCGATAACCGTCCGCATCGATAGCACTTTCTTGGAACTCGTTGCTCCCCATTCCCTGACTATCGCCTTTTCGACTACTGCCTATAAATGTATGAGGTCGCAAAGCGTTCAGACGACCCGGGTGGTTCACTGCCTCAACGGTTCGTGTTCGTACCATTCCTGTTCCGTTTTTTAAATATGTTGATTCAACAACAACATAAACTTTCTTGTATTATTGGTAATCCGTATGTATTTGCACTTTCTACGCTACTAACACTTCAGCGCCTTCCCTTGCGAAATAAAAATCAGTCGGTATGACAGAAATTATAATTCAATTTAATAAACACACATTTTTAAAAATAACTGTACATTATATGATTTAGCACTACAATTGAGGTAAAATTGGCATTAAGAAAGGCAGCTCCAACTTGAACATTGAAAAAAACTCCGAAACAAATTTGTCACCATCCAACTCAAAAGTACTCGGAAACCAGAATTTTTTAAAAAAATTTAAGTATACATTAAGATATTTACGTAACGAGAACAGAAAGGTCTTTGTACGAATGAAATGGTGGCGCAATTTGAACGAGAGCATTTTGAAATGAGAATGCCAAAAATCCTTTCGTCCCACTTGCATACATTATTTTGTAGTATTAATGGAAACTTACAGGTAAATACTCTTGGAGTAATTCTCAATCTCCCGGTGGGTAGCTACGTTGATTCATGCCGCCACCCAGTGCTCTGTTTTCTTTGCATTACTCATTTGTTGTATGTGTCCATGACTTCTTGGCAGTACATATCGTAAGCGTACCGCAAAGGAGCACTTCCCGATCAATAAACAGTGAACGTAAGATCCAATGTAAGAAACAAACAAAGAAATATGAAATACTGTATACATTCTGACACACGTAGCATCCAACTGCCTCAACTCACCTACAATTACTAACAAGAAGCCCAGTATTTTCAGAGCGGGCGACTAGTTTCTAAGCCCAATTACTCCCAAAATACTCATAGCTTCAATAAACTGATTGGTACAATGTTTCCACGCAATAGTTCGAAAAACGAATTTAAAGATTTAATATTGATACATAGACTTCATCACGAACTAAATCTCCATCTCTAAGAATGTAGTCGATTTAAATGTTAAACTCTTTTAAGGAGTTCACTGCCGATCAAGGACAATTTTGTTTTTTACAAAAACAATGAATTTGTAGAAATATATCGAAAAAATTACAACTCTTGCAGGTTTGTGATGAAATGGGGGTTTTGATGAAAATTCAATAGACACTAATACTATTAAACAAACTTTTCTCTGTTGGAGAAGAACCATTTATTGGCAATATTTGGAGTATTTGTTTAGATATATTGAAATATATAAAATAAAGACACGAAGTCAAAATTGAAAGAAGAGACGCACTAAGGATTCAACCAAAAATGCGATGCAATTCAGTGGAAAATTGCGAGGGTATGATATATGCAGGTCGCCCGAAAACATTCCGCAGGCAGCCAATGGAAATAATAAAAATAAACAACAAGCAGCACATAGAGTATTCAGAAACTGGTTTGAGGCCTAATTCTATCAAGAGATGATTACTTTCAGTTTTCATTGAACACCATTAAGATGTAGTAGAATTGAAAGTTACCTATTTGTAAGTATAAGGTAGGAATTTGTATTTGTTGAACGTAATCACAGGGTTCAATATCTTATAGTAAAGAGACAATTCCCCTAAAAACATTCATTTACAGTTTCATTATCTTGGTGTTGTTTGAGACGTTACTTAATTTGTAAAAATATGGCAGTACGTCAGAATGCTCGTATAAATCACAAAACCGCAATTATATCCAAGTTATTGAACAATTAAAATAAAGGCGATTGTTCATACTAATGTACCCAACCGATTGGTGGTGGAACTCGTAAATTCTGCGATTTCAATCGATCTTTCCTTTTTCTGGAAATCTTTATATTTAGCCAATATCGAGGTTATCTTGACATCGGATTACATCACTGCACTCCACCCAATTTTGAAGAACTCTTATCTCAGCGTTGAATAACAACACAGGGCATCGTTTCTCGGCCCATTCCGTTGCTCTCCCCCTCGCCGATGAAGACAAGTGTTGGCGCGTCGGCCGTGCCGCGTCGCGCTCCGCTGCTGTCTTCGCGCCCGCAGCGATCGATGAGACTATGAACCGGCAACTAACAAGCGCCGCACGTCAAATTACTGCCGAGCCCATGTCCTTCGCCTCCATCTTGAATTGAATTGATGCCTTATTTGACGTGGCGAGACTCGGGCCATGAGGCCTGCTGTTCCGTCTGACCATGCAAATTTCGCCACGCTCCTTTCGCCAACTAGCGGAAAAAGGAGGTATTTCTTGGGCGACGAAACAGGCGATTCGAATTTAGCTCAGAGGCTTCATCGAGGCTTGAGAATCTTTTACATGTAGTAAATTTACTAACACGGGACAGCCGGCTTTACTTCCCCTCCGAAAGATTTTTTTCGCCCTAAAAATCCACGGCTTCCGACGGCTTCCACTGAGTTTGAACCCGCCAACTTGGGTATAACAGTCGGATACGCTAATCGTTACACCATCGCCCCCATTTTCACAACCGACGAGCGAGGAATTTATTTTTTAAGTTTTTTTTATCATGGCAAACTGCTGATGCAAATGGATACGAATATGTGTGTAATGTTTCGTACAGTAGGTGTGATTTACGAAGTTGTACGTGCTAAGACAGTTGGGCAAAACAACTTAACAAAATATCGTGTGTTTGATATGGCTCATTTGTCTCCAGGCATTCGCAAGTGGGCAGCGATGTTCTTACATTCGGTCTCCATAATTACTTCTTTGCCTGCAGCTAATGCGATATTTTTAATATATATTTTTTTATAAGTTTTCTGTAATTGTCCTCGTCAGTTACTGGCGTCAAACGTTTTTTTTCATTTTATATATTTGTATTTCCAATTTGTTACATCCGAATAATAGGTAAATCTTTTGACAGATTTACAATGGCATGTGAAGGAACTGGGAATTCACAGTCTCTCATGAATTCATTTTCAGTAGTAATCAAATAAATTGTATATATATATATATATATATATATATATATATATATAAAGACAATATGATCAAGACAGAAAAAACAGACAATATATAAATAAATTACATTTCTGGCAATCATGAAAACATACAATTTTCGGTAGCAGTACAATATATATTGTGGCGTCTTTGCCGGGGCAGTAAATCACAGACGTGAACGGTTTGTAATTTATTGAGTATTTATTTGAAACAAATGCTTCAACACCTGAATACTATGTACAATAATTACAATAAACAATATTGACCCGTTACTAGAAAGAATGTTCCTGGTTACCACCACCGCTGGCCTGATAATTAGATATCTTATTCGGTGTGATTCACCAGTAGCCTACGTGAGCATGCAAGCGAGTATGCCGCACCTCCCGTCTCGACGTAGCACGCCGGCTTCAGTTCCCTGCCTCAGTAGCCTATGCATTAAAATGCAGCGCCGCGCACAACCCACACGACTTCCTACCGACGCGCCCAAGAATCAGAAGAAGGAGTTTAGGTCCGGGGTTCTTTGATATTACCTTCTGGGCCGGCTGACGGAACTGCGTCATCTCGCTGTTTCCGCCGAAGCGTTTCCGCAGATAGCCTGTCTACGGGGTTTCCAAGTTACCGCAAGTGGTCTACGGGGTTCACAAGTGGCCACCCACGACACGGCACCCCTTCCCTTCCGCTCCCTAGGTTTGCCATTGTTCAGCCCAGCGTCTCTTCCGCCAGCGCTGTCCATGAGCATGAAATGCACGTGGCTGATATTTGGTACGTTTGTATAAGGCGACTGATACGACGCCACGATATCATGTTTTTAATGACCCAACCTATTTAAGAGGTCCAGGGAATGAAATCTGCACTATTGTCTTAAGTCTTGGCTTGGTCGAGAAAGTTTAATGCTAAGTAATTTAGGTGATTTTCTAGGCATTTATAATATTATTGGAAACTGAATTGGTCTCCTTGGTATATTGGGAGTGTATGTAAGTCTTTGTGCAGTGTTTTATTTGAATCAAACCACGGTGCATTCACAAGCAATCTTAGAGTTTTCGATTGAAATCGCTGCAGTATTTCTAGTTTTGAGTTGGCCGCAGCATCCCGAAGTTCTATTCCAAGCAGGTCCAGGCAGGTTTTTTAATATTGAATACTAAATCAGTAGTTTATTAGCCAATGAAAGAGAAGATTTTTTGCGTAGAAGCCGATAGTATTGCTTGATTGCCTGATTACGTCGAACGTGGAGTAGTTTTCTGTTAGGGTCGGTCGGCGTCAGTCGTAGTTAGTTATTGCCCTTCGACCATTGTCTCAGCATCGTTATATCCCTTTCCAGACTCACCTATCAGAAATAAAAAATAAAAAATAATTTGTTCGGCGTCTTCGTACAACTACAAAATGAAGATTTTTTCTTAATGAGATATGTTCACCAAAAACATATCTTCATGTAATGTCATGTTCAATTTTGTATTAAACACAGGCAATTATAATTTCCTTTAAACCATTTTTCTTTAAAAAACCACAATATTTTTGCATTAAATTGGGACCTTAGCATAAAGGTCGCATAAGGGAATAGTGCAGATCTTATGTTCGTTAACATGCGTTTTGGCGAAAATTTAAAAAAATAAACAATTTTCGCCATCTTTCTACAACTACATATGTGAACATACAGTTTTTTCTCAATGAAACGTGTTCATAAAAAACAGATATTCCAATAAGGTCATATTGATTTTTGTGAAAATACGAGTAATGTGACATATTGAGTCAGCGATTTTTTAAAATAAGATTACCCATATTTCAGATTAGATTTCCAAATTGTACCCAGCAACATTACAGAATTGAAAGAGTCCTGAGTGTCTGTGGGAACTTCAATTCCGTAGCTTTAGTAAGCCTACATGCCACAATCATTTAGAAGTGACGTATATGCATACACTATATAAATGATATCTGAAAAACCAAATTGATAAGAGCTCGATGAAGAA